TAGGGAATCAATATTGGAGAGAAAAAGTAGTGTGCTCGGAGGTAGGGGGTGTTTGTGTAGAAATGGCTAATGCAATACCTTTCCCAAAATATTACAGTCAGGAAGGCTGTTTATAATAATTGGCATGTACGAGATGTGAATTTAGGACCTCCTGTACAAGCACAGAGTAAGAGGCCAGTGCTCATTATAATCTTCATAGAATCACAGACAAGAGATGGATTCAGACAAATGGGGGCCACAAGGAGATGGCAAGACAAAATCAGGTGGCATGCAAGGGGCAGGGTCGCAATTTGGTGAGAAAGACTCCCTCGGTTGTCTGTAAAAGCTGTCAGGCTTAACTCCTCCTCCTTGTGTTCTGCCACCAGGTAGAAAATGAGACCAACATCCTCCAAGACGGCTCTCTGATCGACCTGTGCGGAGCCACCCTTCTGTGGAGAACGGCAGACGGACTGTTCCACACTCCAACTCAGAAGCACATCGAAGCTCTGCGACAGGAGATAAACGCTGCCAGACCACAGTGTCCTGTTGGGTTAAACACTTTAGCATTTCCCAGCATCAACCGTAAAGATGTGGTAGAAGAGAAGCAGCCTTGGGCGTACCTCAGCTGCGGTCACGTTCACGGCTATCACAACTGGGGACATCGCAGCGACACCGAAGCCAACGAGCGGGAATGCCCGATGTGCAGAACCGTTGGCCCCTACGTGCCTCTGTGGCTCGGTTGCGAAGCAGGCTTTTATGTGGATGCTGGTCCTCCAACTCATGCTTTCACCCCGTGTGGACACGTGTGCTCGGAGAAATCTGCAAAATACTGGTCTCAAATCCCGCTGCCTCATGGTACTCACGCGTTTCATGCTGCCTGCCCCTTCTGTGCAACGCAACTGTCCGGGGAGCACAACTGCGTCAAGCTAATTTTTCAGGGTCCAATCGACTGATACCCCTTCTCAACGACCACAAGAAAAGCAGTGATCACAATAACATTTTCTTTAACAAGTTACTGTGAAGATTTTGCCACTAACTCTAGATTTTACCGTTTTTTATAATGTTTATTAATAGGGCAGGGATGGGGAGCTGACGAGGAAATTGTGACGGACTGTGGTGGAATTGGGATACATTGATACCTGGAACTTGACAGATATCAGTGGCGTTGCATGCTCAAAAGCAGCATATTCATGAAGTCTTCTTGGTCAAATTGTAGTATATTTGTAATCTTTTTATTAGTACCCTGGATGAGAAAAAGGTGTCTTAATGATTTTTTTTTTAAAGCTAAGATTTTTTTTTTTTAATGGAAAGGGTTTTTCTTCTAAACTTTGACAAGCCTTTAAAACCTATTTTTTCAAATCTAGAAGGAATACACAGAATGTACCTGTCTCTAATTTGCAATATAATTTAACTTGAATAGTTTCTTAAGGAGCTAATACAGAATGTGTGGACAACCGTAGGTGAATGTTCACTAGAGATAATTGGATATGTAAGAGAAAAATCAGCTGCCGAAATTGGGGAGTATAAAAGCTATTAAAATATCTATTGTGGTATAACACAGCTGGCCAAAAAGGCATCAAAGATTACTTGAAACTGAGGAAATCGTGTTTGCATTGATTTCCTTTCAGTGTAATAGATATCCACTGTTCATTAAGTATGGTATGTGGCTGTTTTGTTTGTTTTTTTTTTTCCTTGTTTTAACCTGCATCTGGTGATACTGCTTTACCTTTTTGCATACTTAGTTCTGGCTTTTAAGCCAGTGTCCTGTATATGTGTAGTCTGGCCTTTTTATTCCTGCTTAAATTAGCTTGCCCTGCCTGCTCCTTGCATGCCCGAGACCATTGGGTTAATTGAGATGTAGCGAGCCTTTGAAAACTGCATTAATGAAGGGGTAGTGCCGCAGCAAGACAGAAGGTTTAGGTCCAACTTATACAGAACTTATGTCTGTAGACTTGAATTCAGGAAAGCACTTGGTTTGTATTTAAATACAAGCCTGCAGGTGGGACTGTTTAGATTCTCAAGTGCTTCAGTGGGTTGTGGTTGTATGCTGTTAGGTTTTGAAATAAATTTAAAAAAAGCAATTAAAAATAAGTTATATTTTTTAGGCTCACTTACTAGCCAAAATACTGTAAGGAGAGCGTCATTTCTAGTTCAGCTGAGTATTTTTGCTTGGTTTTCAACTTGCTGCCATCTGTCACCTTTCTTTTTTTTTTTTTTTGGCAGATTGAGATGTGTTTGTATCCATTTTTTTCCCCGAATGTTTGCAAATCAAACAACATTCAAATGTATGCACCAGGGTGGTACATCTGAAGTGGATCGCTTGAAATTCCTGACTTTTAATTTAAGAGAGCTGATAAATGTTTACTATGGAAATAATTAAATCAGAATTTCATATGAGATGTACCACACCCACTGTTAGTTTCATTTCATGCAGAATTGATCTGTAGGTCGGGTTGTTTTTTTTTCCTTTTTGCTTTCTGTAATCTTGGTATCTGAGGTATCAATCTATCCAGGTTTAAAACAAAAAAAAGAATTTGGGAGAAAATTGTAACATCTCTAGATGAAATTGATCATTCAAGCTCAGTTCTGTTTAATCAACTATAGCTTTTTGCTATATTGGTGACCTTTGTATAAATACATAATTTATATGATTTTAATATATTCTATGTATATATACTTGAATTAGCCTGTTCATATTTTGGTTGTAAAATTGTTTTATAGTTAACCTTATAAACATTTTACATGTCCCTTGCCAATGGTGAAGGGACGTACTCTGTCTGCTGCTGTTTTTAATATAATTTTGCTGTATAAACGTTGAGCATTTTAATAATTTGGAAATAGCTTTACTTTTTATGCTTTTGCTGTTAAAAAACCAACAACTTGCTCTCTAAAAATCCCCAGCTGTCCAGCTTTTGTCCCACTCAGTGACTGGAAATTGGATGAATTTCATTAACCTAAAGCTCCATGCTTCTTCCTAGTGCCTTTTCAATGAGATCCTCTTGTGATTCCGTATTCCGAGTCCTTACTCCCACAAGACAACCTTGTGGCTAATCTTCATCAACAGTGGCAGCCCAACCAGATGGGGAGGAGACGCCATTGGCCTTCAGTTCCTTGTCACGGTTCCCGTCAGAAACGTGAAGGTGCCTCTTCCTTGTTTCTATTCAGTACAACTTCCTCAGGTCCCCCACGCGTCCTGCAGCATCATTTCTCTTTAGCCTATACCTCATCCCCGAGCGGCAGTCTCACCTCCACCTTGTTTTCGCCGGACTCTGCGAAATACTTCATTTCTCACGAGAGATGCAATGAAAATATCTTGTCAGGAAACGCTCCTTGTCGAGTTAAGACCATGAGCCCTGTGTTTAGGCTGGAGGCCTGGGCTCACGGGCTCTGTGTGGGACCACCTTCGCAGGGCTGGGGTGGCAGCCGCATTGCTGAGCGGAGCTGATGGGGACTCATACGCATAGGCTCCCTCTCCGAGCCTAAATGGAATTGTAAATGCGCGGGTTCCCAGGCATCTCTGTGCTCGAGCTTCTTTACTTTCCTCCTTCACCACCGCAGTTTAATTGCTGCTTCGGGGCTTCGTATTCCCGTACCCCGTGCAAAGTGAGCGTGCGGTGTTAGGAGTATCCTCACCGGAAACATTAGCACACCAGCTGCCTGTGGTGCCGTTGGCTTGCATGAATTGGAAGACTGGCTGATGGTTTGTATCCAAGGGAAGTGTCTGTTCTAAAAGAGTGTGTTTTAAGCAAGATTTTCATTTTCATCATTGTCAGCAATCCTGTCTAACACAAGAAATACTGCAGGAAGGAAAACTGTCCTGTCTGGGAAAGAGATTTCCACAGTTCCTTTGCATGAATTCAGGTACTTTGCCATTAACCAGTATTCAGGTCTAGGGGAAGTCCCGCAGAGCTGGATTTACTGGGAAGGCAGAAGAGTTTGTAGCGTTATTTTTCTCAAACTCAACTGCCACGTATGCTGCTCTAATGAAGTGAGGGACCATTTGGCTGCTTAGTCTTTTTTTCTTTCCCTCATCTCAGTCAACACACACCTGGTCTGGTAACTTGATAGGAGAGAGTGGTTTCTGGATAAATAAGACTGGTTCTGTTTGGAGTAGGTAAAATTGAGAACCGCCCTCAAACTTTGTTTTGAAAGTTTATTTCGTTATTTCAGTGTTACAGTATTTCTTGCATACCATTTCAAATGCTGGCAATGTATTATTCCGCAAGGATTTTTTTACCTGTTATTGTCAATTCTATCTGAATGCTTCAAAACCAGCTTTGACTGCATAACTTATAACTAGAAGTATTTTTCTACGTAAAAAATAATCTGTCATATCCATGCACGCTGGAGCTGTAACACTTTCTTTTTTTCCTGGCAGCTTTTTGATAGAGTGCTGAAGCCTAAATAGACGACTGAGGGGTAAGCGTTGTTCTCATGTTGAATTGTGGTCCAAGTCATACAAAAGAGTTGGCGTGATACTGCATCTTAATCACAAGTTGTTTTTTTTCAAGTGTGGTCACTTTGTGCCTCAGGCTACAGTACTAGTACTATGCTGGCAGAGTAATTAAAGGAGGGTTTGTTGGGTTTTTTCCTTTGTGAGGGTGGGAATGGGGCTCACAAGAGACAAAAGCCACGGTCGGGCTGGTTCCAGTAGGAACAGACCCACCTTGAAGCAAAGGTGTGCCAGGAACTGATCAGAAGTGTGATTGGAGCTGTTCCCAGACCTGGTTCATGCTCTTCCTCAGAGCCTGAGCGAGGAGCGGAGGTGCTGAGTGTATCGTAGTGTGAAACTGCAGTAGTCTCTGACTAGAACTCATTTTTTACTTCCATGTACCACCCACAAGAAACTTAATTTCAGCTGTGGTAACTCTTAGTGCTGTTGCAGTAGGTGATCACTTCCCTCGCTGGTTTTTCATTCTCCTGGAAGAAAGCTTCTCCGAGACTGTGGCAGTTCTGTTCACCAGCTCCTAATCCTGACACTTTTCTGGGGTCCCAGGAGCTGTTGATAGTGATCTGGCCATTGTGAGAACTCATAGAGGCACTTAAACATGTTTTTAGCATGGTCGGAAAACTGGCCTGGCTTGGCTCCTGCTTTTGCTTAAAACTTGGGCTGCAAATACACTTGTGAAATGAGCTGTGCACGTCTGTTGTTTTTAAAGGAACACTCCATCACGGGTGGTTAAGTCTTGTTTTCCCCGAGACTGCTGTTAACATGCTGCGTTGGGTGCGACATAGTATCGAGAGGTAGAGCTGTTGGTCAGAACAGTCTCGTTGTCACAAGTAGGTGTGGGCAGCCCAGCTCTGCTGCATTATTCTGGCCAAGGAGTCCTCCTCCTCCTCCACATTTGCTCAGTTTTCAGCCTATTGTGAGTTCTTGGTTCCTCTCCTTTTCTGTTTATCCATGTAGTTGCAGTAAACAAGTAAATATAGCTTGGGAAAAAAAAAAAACAACAAGGAAGGAAATTAAAAGGATACCTTTGGGCTTGCTTACCTCTTCAAGGAAAATATAAAACGGAGTTGCAGATGTCTCCTACAGATTTTTCTCATTGTACTGTGGTTTTTTTATAAGCACTCTTCACAAGTCTACGCACTTGGTGGTGTGAATTGAAAGGAAAAGCTCAGAAGTTAATGCTGTTGCGTTTTTTTTCTCGGGGGGTGGGGGATAGAGAGGGGCTAGTTTTTAGGATGAAGTTGTTTTAGTCTGCAGGCCCTGTGCAATCCACGTCCCCTTGCCCGCAGCAGACACTTTGGTCATGAAAGAAGAACAGTCAGCCTCGACAGATGGTAAAGATAGAACTTTACGTTCTGTGTCGATCAGAATTTTCGTTTATTGGCAGCAGAATAAGTCGCTTGGACAACCAAACAACCTCATATTGTGTGTGCCCACCACAAAACTGGTGGCTCTCAAGGTTTTCTTCAAATGGGGCGTATTTATACTGTCCTGGTGGGGCAAACCAAGCTTCGAGTCCCCTGGAAGCACTTGTGGTGGTGGGGGATGGCTATTGCTTTCCTCTTGGATCAAAAATGTGATGGAGAGCCCTGGGAAGGCTCCTTCTTGGGGCACAGGTGTAGGAAAAGTCTCGTTCATGCAGGAAGCCCTGTGCGGTGGGAGAAGTGATGTTTACCATTAAACAGTGTTAGCAGCTGTTAAAATTCTGGGTATGTTTGCGAAATTGATCTTTTATACACCATATGAAATGGACTGAAATAATTTCGTTGCTGTTGTACCTGTGGAAGTACAAGCCATTTTACAGGGGAAAAAGAAAAAAAAAAAGGAAAAACAAGGGTAAAATATCTCATTATTGTTACTGACTCCTTCAGGTTTTTTTTCCCTGCTGATTGGTTGTCAGGGTTTAACTTTGATTTGCAAAGATACATAAATAACTTCAAAAATAAAGTTTCTCGTATCCTTCTATCCCCTTTCTTCTATTCAGCAACAAA